TAATACAGTCATCTCCGGAATGCTGGGAGCGAGTCTATTACCTGACACAGCTTTAGATTTTTTTCTTTTTCTTTTTTAGAATTAATGAACAGCATGGTTGATCCTAAAGGAAGTGATTTCAGAGAGTTCACATCAAAGTTCTCAGTGTGTGACTTAGGATGGGTTAAGGCAAGCATATATTAAACAGCCTTTAGGGCAAACAACTTCCTGTCTATTGACTTCAGTTTCATGATCATCTAAATATCTTTAATCTGTATGGATTAAGAAGACATGGCTCCAGACAGAGTACAAAAGAGCCTCAAATAGCTAAAACAGATGAGATCGTTTCATAAATCAGAGGCAAGTGCAAAGAGGGCAGAAGGTAGACAGTGGCCAGGAGATGGCACTACTGCTTCTTTTTTTGGAACCTTCTCTGTAGGAACTTGGAAAATCAAAGTTGGGAGGGACTGGATCTTGTGCATTTCTGTCAGTACTTGCTAGACAGAGAGGCCCTTGTCTCTGAGTGTTCTATTATATATTGAAACAGAAAAGTTAGGACTTCTTTCATTCTTCTGCAACCTGCAGGAGGCTGTGCAAGAAGTAGTTCTTTGTCCAGTCCTTCATCCCCAGGACAGATTAACTTTTGTCTACTTAGACCTAGAAAGAAAGAGAAAAAAGAAGATAAAGAAATCTTGTCCCCAAAATAGTTTATTCCTCAACAGTTTCCTTGGAACAGCAATGTGAGCCTGGTCATGGTCCTCCTCCAAAATTATCTTTAGTCCATTTTTGCATCTACTAGAAAGCCTGTGTTTAAATTATAATTAAGCATAGTACAACAGCAAAATGCCATCACCATTTAATATCACAGAATATCACAACAATTCTAAGTTAATTGGAAGAATAATCAGTTATTTTGGTTTGACCCCGGAAATCTGGTTGCCTTTTACATGTGAATCGCACCTGATATTCTTGATAGCATATCTCTGTATATCACTGTACACATTATTCACCTTAATATTTTCCTTTGAGTAGCACCAGTAGCAACAATCCGATACCTGAAGAGATGGGAGAGGGTGCCTGAGATTGTGGCCCCTTTTGGTTTCATGCTTCTATTTAATAGCTGATTGGCTTTTCTAGAAACATCTCCTTGTTAAGGGGAGAGGGAATGATAAGAGTGATGAATTTCTCTAAATCTGGTTTTCTTTCCAATTTACAGCTCCTAGCAGTCCCAGTCCACAGGACCAATGGTGAAAGCAGCTGGGAGTTGTACTTTGGCACTATTTAGATAGCCCTAGATTCCTGATCCCATCTGATAATCAGTGTATAGCGGAATTGTCTCAGGTTCCTTCATTAAACCTAGGCACTGTGAGTGATAAGGTGACAATCTGTTGGCTATTTCTCAATGGAACAATAGGATCATATCTCCCTGAACTGTGGAAGGGGATATGAGATAACTGGCATTTGTTCTGGGTCTTAGGGACATAGTGGAATATAAGCAAAGCAATGATATTCTAAGCTTACTCTTTTAGCTTAGAGAAGAAGCACAGCAAAATGAAGACAGGGAAATATGATAGCAAAATGCATTAGGGTGGTGCAGCCCTTAAAGGTGAAGTTGCTGGGAGTTGGACAGCATACAAGTTTAATAATAAATGAATAAATAAATTTATTTCAGTGATCACAAATGAGGGAATCAATGTAAAATGTCTAAATCTTCACTGATCCCAGTGAGTGAATCCCAGTGTGTTCTAGATGGATCACAGGATCTAAACTTCCTTCATCTAAAGGATTCACCCAATGAAGCAAGTTGTATGCCATTGGGTTCACGGCCCCATATAGACAGGACATCATGCATGGCTGAAATACCTCACATAGTGACAGAAAATTCTTCAGTAGTGATGAGATGTTCTTGAGCAATTATTCCAACACAATCAGCATCTGATATTACATAATCTTTCCTTCCTTCCTTCCTTCCTTCCTTCCTTCCTTCCTTCCTTCCTTCCTTCCTTCCTTCCTTCCTTCCTTCCTTCCTTCCTTCCTCCTTCTGAAAAGAAATCTCTTTTCTGTCAACCCAATTGTCCCTCTCCTTCAATGACTTCCTAGATTCGTATAGTATGTTTGCTATTACACAACTCAACAATTATTTGGGACTAATATTTAATCTGTTGATACAAAATTAATTTCTGAGGTTCAGTTACATTTGCCAAACAAGGCCAAAGTTTTGCTTTCTTGTTGACATGCCAAAGCCTCACAGCACATAATCACTGCAGAATTCCATGTTATATTCAGGTTGGTTATTTATATACCAGGTTATATTCAGGCTATTTTCAGGCTGGTTATCATAAATAAGGACATACAGAATTTTACTTGTCATTTGCTTGATTGTGTCAACTGAGGCAGAAGCCTCAGCCTCCTAAGAAATGAAAGGAAAAGAATTTCCAAGCACTTCTGGTCCTCTATAAATCTTTCCTGCCCTTCTCCTATTCTTTCTCTTCACCCTTAGTAGATGATTGGAAGAAGGAAGAAATGACATACTTGTGAGGGGTTTTACTAACCATCTGAGGCAAATAATTTGTGTTATCTTTTTGGATCACTAGAATGGGAGATGAGCCACCTGCATTACTCCCTAACAGTGATATTGTTTAGTCTTGGTCACTAAGCTCAGATGGCCAACCAGCTAAGATAGTTCCCAGCCTCAGCAGTTTTTGTCCTACCTTGTCTCATATTCACCTTAGGTACTCTAAAGACCTTCTGGAGGAACGAAAGTACTGGACAGGACTATTACTACTTTGTTCTGCAGTGCACCAAAACTCAAACAAGAGAAATAAAAGAGGCAAGTGATCCTGCCTAGTATCAGAAGGATTATAGACTGTGTGTGGGGAGAGGTGGATGGGAAGTAAGTCTGTCAAAAAAAGGTACCCGGCATGGGGGACCAGAACCTGGGAATGCAGTGCCCAGGAACATGTAACACCCTTTTTCACCGTCTGAAATGTTGACAAATGTACAGGATTAACACAACCTGGTTACCCAAAGGCACTTCCATCTGAAACATGATACCCTCTCTTGGTTTTCCTGACCCCCGGATTATTTCTTCTACTAAACTGCCAATACACAGCCATCTGTCATATATTTTACATCAAACTCCTAAGTCTTTGAGAAAAACAAAATAACACAGATATGGATAAATAGATAGGAGACAGAGAATTTTGGTTAGAAAATGCATTGCAACAAAGAGGCCCAGGGGATGTGGCAGTCATTGCTAAATTTGTGATAAACTATGTTTTGTATAATTATCATTTTCTTAATTCTGGTCTGCTGAATAAAAGGCAGCTGGATTCACATTACAGTAACCAATAAATGATGCTTTACAGCTGCAGTGGCCTAGTTCACACGTTGCACTAAGCCAAAACCGTAAGTCATATGGTGTGAATCCATCTATTTTGGAGAAGGACATGGAACAATTCCATTGACTATTTCAGAAAATAGGAACTGTGGTGGGATGGGGTGGATGACATGGTATATTTGAATGCTCTGTTATTGAGAAAGTCTTACTACATAGAAAGCTGGTGTATCAGAGCACTTAAACTATAAAGCTTCCTGTATATCAGAGGCAAATTTGCTTTCTTGTGAGGAGAGGTGTCTCATCTAGAAGTTCTGAAGAGACAAAAGGGCTGGGCTACCTCCTTCTTCTCAGTGTAAATTGACTTTTAAGAATTTGCCAGACTGTGACAATGTGTCTTTTGTTGTTTTACTAGAAATACGTATGCTGAAATTACCCACACGTCAATGAGAAAGCAGTTTAAAAATGAAACAAAGCAGAGTTTGAAATGTTCTTCCTGTGCTCCCTTGTTCTCAGCTATAAGTTTCAAAATTTATGTTGGCTCTTTTTGCCCTACAGCTTCAGGTTTTTCCCAGCTAGGCTTACTAAGCTTTGTAAATAGAAACAGCTACTCTCAAAGCAGAGAACATAAAAAGAATGGAATAATATCTCAGCTAGGAGGCTCCATATGTTGAGGGCAAGGTATACCACCTGAAAGAAAAAATAGGATTAGAATTGCTCTAAGTACCAAGAAGCCAGAAATGGTGACTGCAAAAATTATAGTTTTGTAAGCGTATCACATTTCAACAGCAACAACAAAAAAAAACAGGGGAGGGGGGCATTTTCTGGGCACATGCAATTGAAAAATGTTTTGTTAAAACCACAGTGTTTCCCAACCACAGCCATAATTATAAGACCACCTTTTCAATGTCACTGCTCTGATATTGAAGAAGGCAGGGCACAAAGCAATGGCCATGACAGGCTTTAAATATCCTTGCTCTCCAATCTCCCCCCTTCCTGCCATGCCTTCTAATAGCCCTGGATCTAACACAGATATGATAGTGTACAAACATGAAGATTATGTTTATAGCTGAGTATTGATTTCTTTTGGTTTCCATTTTTGGTTGTGTGGTGTTTTTGGAGGAGGACTATTTTAGTATGTGGTGAATATTTTAATTTTGCAATGTTTATGGGTTTTGTTTTTGACGATCTATTTAATTTGATCCGATTAGTTCTTTTATTGTTTTAGGAATAGCCATCTGGGACTGGCGTCTTATCAGATACATACAAGAATAAATATCCAAGATATAAAATCTACACAAGTGCCTAAACACAGAAATGTAGTTTCCAAAATACCTGGCAAGCTACTTTTCTAACACAAACTACCTAGCTTAGTATTTATGTCACTTACTGGCAAGAAGCTGTTTAAAGTTTCCATCATGGGTCTCCCCCAGCCCTCCCTGAAGACTGAACATGGGACTTTACAGATGAAAAGTATGTGCTGTGCCATGAAGCTATAGTATTTCTCTTCCTGCTGCTTTCAATAAGCTGACTCAGTCCCTGAATCTAGAGATTTTTGCATCATCAGAACCACAAAATATTATCCTCTTGCATATGTATGTATCTGCATATGTTCTCCAACCACTGTATGGACAAGCAGAACTCAACAGTAGGAGCAAGGAATGGAGAACACTTCATACAATGTGATGAAATGACTGTCCATAAGGAAGACCAGTTTATTTCAGTAGAATGTCCACATTAGTGTGCTGGAGATCACAAACATTTTTAAAATTTCTTCATGATGAAGCAGATTTGAACTAATGGCAATCAGAGTTTGTCTGGCCTAGCAAATCTGTCACACTAGATTCTACATTTCAGTGCCTTTATGCCGAGTATTACACAGGACAAAATGTTGCATACTATAAAAGTAACAATTTATTATGAATACATTGGAAACCAACATTATTCAGGTATCACCATCTTTTGTTTAATGTTTTAGTACGTCTCTGGGAGACCACTGAAAAACAGGAATGTAGATACTCACATATACATAGGTTGTAGCTGTAAATGCGATGTCTTCTGTGGGCCTTGATAGCCGTAAGAGTCAAATCCACCTATGAAATCAACTGAAAAAGGAAGGTATTGCTTTGATTGCTGACATCATTCTTAGAAGGGCTAAGTATCATGATTTAAAAACAGCTTTCCACAAATACTTGGCCAGCTCCGTCCCTTCCTGTCTTCAGAAAAGTGCCAGTCACAGATTAATTAGTATATATCTGTATACTAAAAAGGATTATATATTGCTTGTGCTGCCCACAAGCAGTCCACCTAAGTGGTGTGTATAAATCACACATTTGTTGAAGCTGCAAATACTGCAAAACCATTCATTTGCAACTTCCAAATGTTTTAGCTAGCTGTGATTATAAGTGTCATACATCTGCTGTCACACTGTGATTCTCTGAGAAAGAGATGCAAGAAGGTGGCTGATGCTTTTGAAAAAAAAGGCTTCAACATGGGAGGGAAGGAGGGAGAGGGGGAGAGATGGAAAAAGAAAGAGAAAGAGAGAGAGAAGCCGGGGGGGTGAGGGGAGAGAATCATGATTTTATTGATCCATGGGGGAAAAATCCAAATTTACAGTAAGATAATGTACTTATTAACACCAACAACAATAACATAAAAAGCTTCTTGGCTTTGAGTTCTCCAAAACTTTTAATTAGGCAAGATGTTACGAAAAACAGAGAATAAGGAAAAGCAAAAAAAAAAAAAAATCCATATATTAAACTGGATATTTAGACTATAAGGTCAGTAGAATAAAGTCAGTCCCAAAATGGAGGCCCAAGTTAACTTTATTGATATCATATTATACCAATCATTAACAAATGATTAGTATAAAATAATTGTTATTTTTCTCAGTTCTGAAAACAAATACATTTAGTTCAGTCTATCTCCTGTCATGGATGCGTCGGCCTGGCATCAAGGAATCCACATGTGCTGGTTAGTATTAGACTGTGTAGGCTGAATATAGGGAACCTTTGGTGCTTCAAATGTGGCTGAACTTCAAGTCCCAGAATTCTTGCATGTTGGCCAAATGGTCTGAAGTCACAAGGAATTGAGAGCCCAACTTGTGAAGAAGATTTCCATCTCTAAGGAGACATGTCTAATCCTTATATTTTCTTTGACCCAGCACAACAAGTAAACACATTTTATATAGTAAATTTATGGATAACCCTGTAAACTTGTAATTTTATGTCACAAATTATTTTAATATTTATGGTAACAATAAAATCTACATGATGGTAAGTTTGCACTACACGTGTGCACACGAATCACTTCCCTTAGCTCAGTGTTGTCCAAACGTGGCCACTTTAAGATGAGTGGACTTCAACTCCACGATATATCTC